TCTCTCTCTCTCTCTCTCTCTCTCTCTGTCGGTATCGCCTCTTTCGCGCTCGGTCCTCCGCTCCTGTCCCGTCTCGCGCGCGAGAGGGAAAGTATTTTATATCACGCTTGGCTTGGCAAGAGAAAGGGGACACGGTTCGCTCCTAATTTCTGCTTTAACTTCGTGAACCTATATATCTCGCGTATATACTTACGCGCGGTCCTACGTGTGTACACGAGCGAACGTATAGTAATTCGAGACGCCATGCTCGAATTGTTTCTAGCGCGCGCGCGCGCGCGCGTATACTTTCGTCGAGTCGAAGCAACACAAGAAGGAACCTTGAAAAAAAGTTCTTAAATTTATTCATACACATTAATTAAATAGATAATTAATCTTTTAATGTAACTTGCTTTCAGTGCAGTTTTATTTTTCAATAATATAGTGTAATATCACATTTCTTTTATTTATATATAGAGGAAACTATATAAGTATTATATTCTTGATTTACTATTAGAGAGTAAGATTAGCGATGTGAGATAAGATTCGAGAAATTACGTGACGAATGATTTCTACGAAAACAAAATGTGAACCACTTGAATTAAATTAAATTATACGTTTTTTTTTGTTAATTTATTACAAAATACTTTTTTAAGATTTTTAAGTTTGGCGGTCCGTTATGAAACACCTCACATATTATAGGAAAAAGTCCTATCGCTCACGTTGTGAAACCAGATCGGCCTGTTCGAAATGCTTGCATTAAAACAAGACTTTTACAATGTTAAAATAAGTAAAATAATATTTTGTTCCGGAATTACATTTTCCTAGAAAATGTAAATTGATAGATGAAAAACGTGCTTTCAAAATATCTTATACCTTGCAATTGTTTCTTTATGCGGGATCAAGACAAAGAAGATATTTCCTCGAGCATCACGTAAATTCGCAATTAAGATTTCCCGGTTTCCTCTTTCTTTCTCTCTCTCTCTCTCTCTCTCTCTCTCTCTCTCTCTCTCTCTCTCTCCGCCTCTCTTTCCGATGAAATCGTCGCTGCGCTCGATAAATTCTTCTATCTGCGATTCCAACGAGATCTAGAACGAGACTTTGACAGAATCCGAGGACGAGGACAAGGTAAACTCGCGCGCCGTTCGATGGATCGAGGGTACGAAGGGAGACGGAAAAAGAGACGGAAAAACAAAGCGTCGGAGAGGAAGAGGTGAGCAAGGAGAGCAAGAGATGTGCGGCGATTGCTCGGGCGGTGCAAGTCCGGCCGAAAGTGAAATCGACTATGCACCGCCTTGTATCATAGCCGTTATTATACGTTATCCAAGCGCCGCGCGCAAGCGGAATGTAGGAATCAGAAGGCCGTCGTTACAGAAGTTGCGCGCTCGAAACGTAACGGCACGGCACGGCACCGGCCGAGAACGAGAACCGGCTCGCGGTGCCGCGATTATCGCGACATTGGTGGAAATCGATTGATGATCCGTCGAGCGCGACGTCGACTCGCGAGCGCGAGTCTTTTCCAATTCCTTCGTATCTTCTTCCTCATCCTCGCCTCTCTCGTATTACCAAGTCCGCCGGAGGATACGCCGGACTTGGAAGCGCGTGCGAAGCACGTCGTCGCCGCGCTCCGTGCGGAGCCACGTACACGTTAATTACGAAAGTGAAAGTACGGCGCGGTTCGCGATGTCGGATACGAGGTAAAAAGAAATCCTCGGGCTTCTTCTTCGTCTTCTTTCCGTCGCACTTTACGTAACTCTGGTCCGGACTCGGATCTCGTTACCGTTTCGTTTTGCGTCCCGCTCGCCCGTGTCCGTGAATCGCTTCCCTACGATAAACAAACAAAGAAAAATCGTTCTCGACACATTATAAAAACACGATTATGCCTTGTCGCATAATATTTGGGCATTCAATGTTTTGTTAAAGCGATTTTGCAATGCGATTCAATTTATCTCGTAAAAAGTGATAAAGTAATAAATTGCGTGCTCTGAAAATTGATATTTCTACTCGAAATATTCATAATCTTCTTAAAGTCTTCTCTTTTTCTGGTAATTTGCTGATAACAATGAGTCGAGCCTGTTAGCATTATTACAAATATGAATACAAAAACCGTTGTGCCTCGTAGTGAAACGGCGTGCTATCTTCTCACGTTTCGCTTCGCGTCAGCCATCGGTGAATTTCGGTAACGAAACCCGGAAGCCATTTTTACGGTGCTCCGTTGCCTCGTAATCAAATTTCTAACGCAAGATCAATCGACCGAATTAAGAATTTCATAAAGAGATTTCACCGTATTCGATGTCGCTTTTGTGTCATGCTGTTATTAAAGCATAAGTGAGCCAAATAATGAAGCGAGTTTTTTTTTTTTTTACAAAGAACACAGAAAACTCGTTCTCGAAATAGAGGATAGCGTCCCTAGAGAATCTCGCAAATTCCTTTTCTTAAATTATGCAGCGTATAATATACATGTCAAACATTGCGTGTAAACAATTTTATATATAGGCGGATTAGTAATTGTTGTGTAATCATCCGGTTGGGCAGTGCGTTGCTAATAAAACCTGCAGCCTCTACCTTTCACAATGCACGGGGACCGTGACTACTCGCACCGTCGATCGTACGAGTCGTCGACGACGATATGGAACCTGTAGCGAAGCAATCCAGATAACAGATAATAACAGATATGTAAAAAGACCTCATTAAGACCGTTTTTATAAATGCCTGGAGGTTACCTTTTCCTAACACATTTTTTTGGAGAATTTTGATATGACAAATTATGTATAATATGCGACAAAGTAAAATTAGTATGGATTAATGTGAGTTATTTTTCTTCCAGCATATAAAAAACAATGAATGATTTCAAATATGTTATGATTTCATCTTTTTATCTCTAAAAAATATAACTTGATTTCCCTCTAATAATAAGGTTTCTTTTTGTTTATGCAATATCTGTTGAAAATCGGTAGAAGAGATTGTAGAGACATCTCTCGGAACAAATGCGAACTAGATTCGTAATCAACATCGCTGTTCATTGAAATATAACTAAGGGCTCACCAACTCCGGCTAACGCTATTGGCCGGTTAATTTGGTCAGCAGAATTGCCAATAGTAAAAATCCAAAATCGGTCTTGGTCTCGTAACCTACTCATACGACAAAGAGAAAGTATATAGAATGTGAATTAAAGTATAATAAAGTAAGCATTATATAAATTATATGCTGAAATATAAATACAAATGTTTACAACAAGAAATTAGGTTAGAAATGATAAAGTTTTTATTTTTGCAGTTCTCAAATTTAACGCTGTTTAACTTAACCAGAGTTGATAAGACGGCCCTAAGTTATGGTGTACAAATATCTAGATGTTATGAGGTTAAAGCGACATCTTTCTTGAGCGCTTTTTTTTCTTTATATTAGCCACGTTTTAATTAAACACGTTTACTCACATTGGCCAGTGCCTAGAAATTTTCTAGTGGACTACCTATTAAAAGATTTAATATTTAACTGACCAATTGGTAACGTGAGTCATATTGGATGTCATTTGAATAAAACGATAGTAGGGAATTCTCTTATAGAACGCAATATAAATTCACCATTTTCTCAGGTTTGTTTACGTATTCGGAACTTTCTACGACTTACGATCGGAGTGATATTGTGTTTTCGAAGCGATTGACAGCTACCACGAAAAAAAGAGAAAAGGCTGCACTTGTGCATTTATTCATATTTTGCTCCGAAAAGATTTTTCTTAATCTAGAATGGCGAAATCGGAAATGAACAACGAGGTAAGATATACATGCCTAAACGATGCGTGTGCTATCTATTTACATGTTTCCGTTGCTGCAGAAATATGATTTTTGTTTCATAACTCGAATTTTGTAATATTTTCAGTTTGTTCTTTTACGACATGCGGTTCGTCAAGCGCGAATCTGTACAATAAATAAAGTTATTAAGGTGGCTAAATTATTGCGGGACAAACATGGAAATGAAATACAACTAGAGAAGAATAAAAAGAAAGCTGACAAGCTGATCGATGAGGTTTATGCATTGAAAAAGATTAAAGATGATGAAATTTCAAGATTTGGTATTTTTAATGAAAGAAGTCTGACTGAAATTTTGCAAGATTTATCATCAACTGCCAATGTTCGTATAATGGCAAGAGTGACGCATTATGCAGCTTTAAATAGAAGATTAAAGCAGTTTAAGGAGAGGTTCCCAGATTGTAAGAAGCAATTGGCAGAGAAAAAGAAAAAACTACAAAATTAAAAGATAAGAAATCTAAAGAGAGTAAAAATTCAGAAAAACAAAAAGCTAATTTGGATAAAAATATTGAACAATCCCAACATGATTCCACAGATGAGAAATCGCATAATAATATATTATCCAAAACAAAGAAGAATTTACGCAAGCGCGAGTCATTGGATGAAGATGATATGCCCTTGGCAAAACGAAAATTAATGAAATTACAGAAAAACGATACATCGAAAAATACTGTCACAAATAAGCAGTCAAGTGTAATTAAACCATGCAGCGTTACGATAGAAGCCACAGTGAAGAGATTTACAGAGTTCTTGAAAGAAGAAGAAGTTCCACAAAATGCACAGATGTCTGTCGTAAATCAAGATCTTGCAGGTACAACTGAGCAAGTAAATCAAGATTTTGCAGGTACAACTGAGCAAGTAAATCAAGATTTTGCAGGTACAACTGAGCAAGTAAAAATGGTCGATGACTTTTTTATCACTGAAGATAATGAAGATTGTCAAGGAAATAGTACTAGTGCCTCGACATCATATGCAAGATTTCCTAAATATAATACACGAGCTTCGACATCATATACAAGATCTCCCACACATAATACGCGAGCTAAAGCTTTCCAATTGAATGATCGAAATAAAAATAGAAATACAAGTCATAAAAATAATACAAAGTTTAATACAAAAAATCCTGGCAAGCGATCTTTTCCTATGAAATCCAATAAAATGATATCTAATAAGATTAATAAGAGCACAAAGAAAAATAACATAAATGAAAATACAATTGCCAATAAAAAAGATGAAGACATCAGTTTACATCCTTCTTGGTTGGCTAAGAAAAAAGAACAAGAAATCATGAGCCAAGGATTTCAGGGCAAGAAAATTATATTTAAAGATGATTAAGTATAATAGTTTATTGTATGGAACAAGGAGCTTACAAATTAATCAAGAACTTTCTGTAAAGTGCATTACAAACTTACGATACACATTTATCGTATTGTAACAAAAATGTATACATATATACATTTATCTTCAATTGTTCATTCAATGTAAATAATATGCAAATATTTTATTTTCCAAATAGTTTATAATTTTGTCAAATAAAATGTAAATGAATTGCACTTATTTGTGATGCTTTGGTCTTCTTTATGCAACATATCTCGTAAATATATTATTGTGCAAAAACATATTTGGGAATGATGTTTAGTCGAGTAAATAAAAAAAAAAGAAAAAAGAACTTTAAAATCATCAAATACAGAAGACGTTCAGTTTAATCCTATTCATCAACAAGATTAAATATTAATCGTAATATTTAATTTTGTTTCATAATATGAGGATGAAGGAACGCGCAAACGTTTTTTACTAATTCGCACTAGATAATTTTACAGATTTAATGGACGTATGATAGTTGAGTTTCTATGACAAAGACGAAACTCAGCGTAAACGCACTTTTCGAATCATTCGCATTAGCTAAAATTTTTACATCACTTATTTTTCGAAAGAGTGCGTTGTTTTTCGGCATGCATAACTAATTGGGAGTCCACAGGAAGGCCCTTTCTTCGACGAACTGCATCCATGTAGCATTTGGCTCGATTATCGCTGTCCGCCTTTTCACCAAAATGGAGGTACTCCTCTTCGGTAGATGGTACCCAGTAAGGATCCTGTTCGATTACCTGAAACGTAATAGAGTAATCCGAGTAATAAAAAGATTTATTCTTTTCCTATCCTTAGAATTGTCATAAATTTCAAACTTTCAGTAATTTATCAAAGATAAAATAAAAATATTCAAAATGTTACACAAGTTGTAATATTTGCTACTTCGCAATTTCGAAGAATGTTTCAGAGGAAATTTATAAACGTGATTGATTTATAAGAAAAACGTGATTTGATTTATAAGAAAACACGTTTACCTCCCAATGACTAAAAACTAGTTGCGGACTAGCCAATCCGGACGTTTGCGTCCGCAATTCTCTTGCGAGATGAAAGCTCTCCAGAACTGGTAAGGTGGCCAATACTCTGAATTGTCCACCGAAGCCGTAAGCATTTTCCGTGGATATGATACGGCCTTGTCTCTTACCGAACACAGCGTATAATCTCCCTGCAATAAAAACAATCATCATCAATTGTTGATCTTTCAGGATGAACGCTAATATCGCCAGCAATTGCTTCTGCACCACTCTAGCATTTCTTTGCGGCATTCCTCTTACGGTACCCTTGCATTCCTAATAATAATAAACATCTCTGAGTTGAAGTCTTGTTCCATTACAATGTACGCGACAATATTTTACAAAGCGTTTTATCTTAAAAATACAAAGTGATACAACGCGTGAATGCGAATATTTGGAGAAGATTTAGGTTTTCAAATGTTTCATTTGTGTGTCAAAAAATATATGTATCGAATGAATTTAAAACATTTGTAAGAATAAATAATGCATTCCAAGAAATGGGAAAATGCAATAGAGCAGCTTTTCTCCTTGTGAGAAGTTTTCAAGAAAACTGACGATAATAATTAGAAACATTCTAATTAATTCAGAGAAGAAAGAAAAAGAAGGGAATGAAAAAGAAAAGAGAAAGAAAAGGGGGGATCAAGAAGGGTCAAACGAGAGTCGGAACTGCGAGAGGAACAAGGCGAGCGCAATCAAGTACAATCGGAAGACGCAAGGGAAGGAAATTATTGGCGAAAAACTGGCTCGCACGCTAGTAAAAGCGAAGGAAGAGAGAAAAAATCGTATGGAACACACAGAATGTGCAGAAAA